CCTTGGAACTCACATTTGAAAACATCACTGTCAACCCCTTCGGGCCAGTCTGAACAGTTTGGACATGTACACATTCAGTAGCCTAAAGGTGAAGCCCGGATTCAGTGGAGAGTGAAATGTGGTCAGGCTCCGTGCACGGAAGGTGGCTAAGACTCCTCCTTGTCCATACACCTGGCGCACACTCTAGGCTGGCATCTCTGGACAGCTACAGGCTCCCTGCCAGGATCCCATGGGCCCTTGGGAACAGCCCCGCCACCGTCTAGAGTTCTGTGGCTCTGCAGATCCAGCTGAACTTCCTCTGTAGATGCTGCATCTTCACCTGAAAAGAAAAATAAGCCTTCTGCCCACGTGTACGCATTGGAGGCTTAAGAGGTGTGCCCTACTAATCCCTTAAGCTTTTGTGGCTGGAAGGCTTTTCTTTCACATTGACCAAAGATACTTGTGATCCCGTGACCCTAATCAATATCTAAAATAATACCATGTTTTAAACTGACTTTTGTATCCCTATCTGTGCATGTGTTAAATGAAAAAAAAAAAAGACAGCTTTTGTCCCATTTGAAAGGGACTACTAAAAAAAAGTATCATGTAGTGAAACTAATTACCTCAGTCAGAAATCCAAATGACTTTGTCGATTTGAAAAGAGCTTTAGCTCTTTCTGCCGACCATAATTGTGATAACAACCCAACAAAGAATGGCTGATTCTGTGCTTTAATTGCCTCAAGTAACAATGCATACCGCAGTGATGGGTCGGCTCATTTATCATGTTCATTGCGGTTCACATGTCTCCCAAAATGCTCGGCTTCCTTGGAACACTCTCCCATCAAGCATCAGCTACTGGCTGATTACTTCCCACCACACTGTTCTGATTAGCTTTTTAGAGTCTGCTCCTCCTGGAGGCTCCCTTTCTTCCCTCCCGCTGGGGCAGGGGCAGGAGCATTGCCCTTCCTGCTACAAGACAGTAAATCAGCCAGCTCAGCGCCTGGGCAGTCTCTGCTTCTGCACACAGGGTCCTGACTTCAGGAGCTCTGTGATTTAACTGTTTCGCTTGGCATGGCTCTTGGTTTTTCTTGATTCAAACGGTCATTTGTGGAAACATTTCAATGATTTGCATGGACAGAAAGAGTCTTTTCAGTAATTTCATTTGGGAAAAATCAACTTGTTGGGTTTTGTGACTGTTAGCCATAATTTGTAAGTATGCATTTTAGAAACCCGAATAAAAAGTTTGACTTTTACAGTTGTTAGAAATCTCCAACACAATGGATCAGAAAACTATCCACCATGAGTAAAAATGACCCCTGTGTCTCAGTGAATCCACCCAAAGCTGTAAGGAAAATTCTAAGGTGTTTCTTTGGTGGCTAGGCCCCGGGAAAGCACTTGTTTGAGGAGGGTGTTCACTATAGCTGTCCAGGAACAGTCAGGATGTTGAGAGTCTCCTCAATCAACGAGAATTAACTCCAGTCATTGCCAGGGACACATCTGTGAGCCTAGGTTTCCAGAGGGAGGGGATGGAGAAATGGCTCAGCAGATAAGAGCAATTGTTGCTGTTCCAGGGAACCCAGGTTAGGTTCTCAATATACCTGGTGTCTCACAACCATCTGCAGCCAGTTCCAGATCTGACTGTATCTTGTCTCCTTAGACACAATGTAACCACATGGTACCCATCCATACATTCAGGGGATCTGGGTCAGTCCCATGCTTTCTACACAGCCATCAATCTGGGATCCAATAGCTTGTTTCTGTGGGTTAAACCTGCCCAGTCTTAACTCCTTTACCCATCAGTTTTCCCTTTCTGTCACTGAATTCCAGGAGTTCAGTTCAGTGTTTAGCTGTGGGTGTCTGCCTCTGCTTCCATCAGTCTCTGGATGAAGGTTCTGTTTCCCAGACTCTCTGGCAGTGGGATTGTAGGCTGGCACTCCCCTGATTCATGTCTCAAATTCATATATGAGAGAGTACATACCATGTTTGTCTTTTTATGACTGGGTTACCTCACTCAGGATGGTGTCTTCTAGTGCCATCCATTTGCCTGTGAATTTCAAGATTCCATTGTTTTTTTCTGCTGAATAGCACTCCATTGTGTAAATGTACCACATTTTCTCTATCCATTCTTCAGTTGAGGGGCATCTAGGTTGCTTCTAGGTTCTGACTGTTACAAATAATGCTGCTATGAACATAGTGGAACAGACATCTTTGTTATATGAATGTGCATCTTTTGGGTTTATGTCTAAGAGTGAAATTGCTGGGTCTTGTGGTAGGCTGATCCTCATTTTCCTGAGGAATCTCCATACTGATTTCCAAAGTGGCTGTACAAGTCGGCACTCCCACCAGCAGTGAAGGAGTGTTCCCCTTTCTCCACATCCTCTCAGCATAAACTGTCATTGGAGTTTTTTATTTTAGCCATTCTGACAGGAGTAAGATGGTATCTCAGAGTTGTTTTGATTTGCATTTCCCTGATGGCTAGGGATGTTAAGCATTTTCTCAAGTGTCTCTCAACCATTTTAGACTCCTCTACTGAGAATTCTCTACTTAGTTCTATACCCCACTTTTTGATTGGATCCTTTGGTGTTTTGGATACTTGCTTAAAGTGGGAGGTACCCTTGAATGAATTGATACAGGAGACTGCTTCCTGAACATAACTCCAGTAGCACAGATACTAAGATCGACAATTAATAAATCTCCTGAAACTGAGAAGCTTCTGTAAAGCAAAGGACACAGTCAACAATACAAAAAGGCAACCCACAGAATGGGAAAAGATATTCACTAACCCCACAGCTGACAGAGGGCTGATCTCCAAAATTTACATATAACTATTTTTATATCACCAAAAAATTATTTGAAGATAAATAGTTGTATATTTGAATCAAGTGTGTTCTATATTAAACAGAATATTTCTCCATGATGTTTTAAATGTTTTTAAATATTGTCTTTATTAGTTCTTTGAGAATTTTGTAGAATGAGTTTTGACCATTGACAATGCCCCCAACTCCTTCCCGATCCACTCCTGCCTCTCTCCCTATCCAGTTTCTTGTTCTCTCTCTTTCCCTGTCCCTAGCAAGTCCAACTTGTATTCTTCATATATGCTTGGACGTGTGGCCTTCCATGCAACACATGTGGTCAGACTACCAGTGGCAGCACACTTAAAGAAAACTGACTTACTTTCTCCCCCAGAGGCTATCAATTGCCAGTCAGTCCTTGGATAAGACTGAGGTTTCATGTCTTCCTTCACTCTCCATGCTTCAATTTTGCATGGCTTGACCTTGAACTATGTTCTACATACTGTCATAACTACTATGAGTTCATATGTACAGTTGCCTTGTTTTAAACCTGTGCTCTACTTCTAAAATTAAAATTAAAATAATAGTTATACTATAAGAAACAGATATAAAAGGGAAAATAATAACGATTAGAAAAAAAACAACAAAAACCAAAACCCACCAAAGTATGAAACATATTGGAGCAGCATCTTCCTGAAGTCCTGCCAGATAGAAGTGTGGTTGGTTGAAACTGGAGACCATCTCTGTGATCCTGCTCAAACTGGTGCTGCACCTGGGGCGACCTGAAGTCCACACAGTTTCCCTTCTTTGCAGACCAGGAATACCACTGAGTATCCTCAGCTTTGTAGATGCTAAGATCTAAGCCAAGTGTGCTATGGGAGCAGAAGCAGGTAGAGCACTGAGTACCATTGCTGTGCTGTGCTACAGCTTTCTGCTTCTGCTCAGTACTGAACGCCCTGCAGGAGGGAGAGGGTTGCAATGGGTGCCATGCAGTCTGAGTCTTAGGCTAGCACAATCATTTGGCTCATTGCCAAAGAAGGCGTTGCCATCACAAAAGGCAGGGCCACCAAGCCCAGAATCCTTCACCAATGAGCCTCCTGCTTCCTGAGCAGTATGTGTGCCTCTAGACCTCCCTCCTCCCCCAACCTGCTACTGCCTCTTGCCACCCTCTTCTCCTTAGAGGCTCTGCAGATTCACACCAAACAATAGACCCACTCCTGAAGCCATGGTCTCAGCCGATCCTCCCACTACACAAGAACTGTGCGTTAGACTGCCAGTGTCTTTGCCGGAGCCAGCTTGGGTGCCTTCTAAGGGATGCCTGAGAGCTGTGAGCCCAGTGCTGCATACTCTCTCCTTAGTTCCAGACAGGCCTGGTGTTTCTCTCTTCTCAGCCCGCTGCTCTGCCGCCACTCTGAAGTCGCTCTCTTTGGGATAGAGTTCATTCCCTTTTCTCCCTGCTTTACAGGGAGGCAGCTTCTGCTCCGCCATCTTGCCCCCAAAGTCGATTTAGTTATTTTAGGAGACTCTGTAACTTGATGGTAACCTTTCCCTTAGTCTCATTTGACTAAAACCTCAGTTGGAGATTTTATGGGTACAATATGTCATCACTGCTCTTATTTGCAATTGATTTTATCTGGAAGCATTTACACTTAAACTGCTTGGAGATTTTCATCAACTTAAGCAAGAAAGTGACATTCGAAATGGATTAGATTGGCCAAAGGTCACATAATCTATTGGTTGTTGGAGGAATGGGGGATGCATTTTAATCTTCCAAGGATCCCTTACACACCTCATTTTAAATGTCCTTAGGTTTGATTATACAAAGTAAAAGGAAGATGTTTATGAAAAAAACAAAACGAAACAAAAACACTCCAAACATTGGAACAATGAGGAAGCCGTGGACTCCTTTTTGTAATTGTGGCTCTGCCATGTTAGACTGTGTAGGGCGTCACACATTTCTGTGATATGGGGGTATTCTCTCTGACACCCCTTCCCCCAGTCAAATGCCTGAGCACACTGAATCACCCATGTGCGTAGTAGCCATAAGCCCAATCCTTTCAATTCACAGGATTAAAACATTAAGATCCAATATGAAGTCAATGGTATCGTTAGCTATAGAAATACTTTAAATATGTTTAAAACTATTTTAAATCATAATATATTGAAATATATATTGAATATATTCATTGTAAACATCAATTTTATATTTTTTCTTCTTTTCAATTTCAGGGTCAGCCTGGCCCCCAGGTAAGCGATTCCTTTTTTAGCCAACTAACTCCAGTTTATAGTTTTCCTAGTAGGGAAATTCTCCTTCAGTCCTTTTCAAAGAATTGGAGAAAGCTGTGAACTGATAATTGTGCTGCTACCTATTAGGCTAACTATTGCCCAGGAGTGATACTTGGGGACTCTTTAGGGTTGAGTGAACCACTTCACCTGTTGGGCCAGATGGCAAGTTAACAATATGCCCTCTCACTGAGGAAAACTCTTAACTGACCCAAAGCAGTGCCCCAGAGGCAGAGTGACTCGGTACATACGGGCATGAGCTGGCATGCACTAGATACTGATTAATGGAGTACTAGTGCAGCCGTGCCTCCACACTCATTATGTAGGCTGTGATCCGGCTAGCTGCTTCTGATTCTGCCCAGATGGATACTGACTTTGTTCCCAACTCTCAGCACAAACCAACGGCTGCAGACATGATTTATAAGTAAGCGCAAATGCAGCCGACAGACAATATTTCAAACTCTTAAATCGTATTTTTAAGAGCTGGGGGGATGTCTATAAAGGTAGAATTGTAGAAATGAAGCAAGTTCTCACAAATGGCGTAGTGAATTCAAACTCAAAAGGCTCAGTACTACCTCGGTGTGTAGGATGCTAATGGCCCCTGAGAGGAGCCGGCTTACAGATGCCTTAAACACTGCATTCCATCTAAACAGTGCAATTACTTACTTGTGCTCCCATCGGTCTTTTTTTTTTTTTACCATGATGGACTCAATGCCACTTCTGCCCCAGTTTGTTAACTGATAGGCCATTTCGTGATAGCTTTGTAGTTAGTGTCACGAATTATTTAGTATGCGTTAATGTTCATTCTATATGTATGAACATTATTTATAGGTGTTCTGAGCTCCACATATAAGGTTGTGTAGTAATAGAAACAGAAAACCACACTTATTATAGTACAGCACTCCTTTTCACACTAAGTAGTAAGACTTTTAATTTATATTGATACTGAGAATCACCCTCATAGTTTGTAGCTTTCCTCATGTAGCCCAAGTCAATTCAAGTTAGCAGAATAAATTCATAGAGGAGAGTTTTGACTTAGAATTTGAAATTGATATTCTATATTGGGAAGGATACAAAGTAAACTGTGGTTTACTGCATCTTATACTTTGTTTTACTCAGTGCCAACAATAGTTCTGAAAAGTGCATGTGTGCCTCGGTATGTCTGTGCGCTCGCGCACAAACACTCATGTGTTCTGGTGTTTATGGTAAATTTCTTACCCGGATGACACAGTAGTGTGACTGGAGTAGAGATTAAGACTGGAAGGCATCCAAATCTGGAAGCCCCATATCACTCAACTCTTTCCAGAAAGGAGGGTAGCACAGCATAATGAAGTGAGCCTTGAGAAAATAATATTTTAACTCTCAATAGGACCTCTGTCTTAGTCTAGGCCACCTTTCCTGGCATCAAAAAGCAGTCCTTAAAATAATTCATGGACATGAACATGTGAGAAGTGGCCTAGGATACATCATGAGGGCATGGAGTAATTCACCAGGATGGTAGAATAGCAGGAAGTAGACGCGTTTGTGAACGGATGACTTCTATGGGTGACAGAGGCCATTTCCTGCTGAACATCTCATAGAGGGACAATGCAGAGGTTCCCCAGAACCCTCACACAGACGAACAGGAAGTTGATGTGATTAGCCATTGATTTGTATTCCTTTACTTTCGAGTCATGTCTAGGTGCTAACACCAGTACTTCTGATCTGCTTTAGAAGGTCTCGTGTATGGAATGGATAGGACCCATAGTCTAGCACTAGAGCTATGAAATTGTGGTGAATAAGACAGGTATAGTTTTATTATTCTGTGCTTTATTTTTCACTTAAAAGTTATACATATCTATTACATTAGAATATGATAATATATTGATGTAAAGCATTAATATGTTTTATTGATAATGTTGACTGCATGCAAGGCATAAAACTTGAGTTCATATGCATTTACCTTGTTCAATTATTACAATTAAGTAAAATATAATTAAGGCCTCAGAACTTGTCATTTTATCACTGATTGTGCCTTTTGTCAGAATGTTCCTATTTCTGCTGAACCCGTTTTATACTTCTGTTAAGTCCAACTTTTAAAAATTCTAAAAACAAGTGGAAATCATCATACACTACACTGTTTGCCTCTCTGTGTCTAGTTCATTTCACTAGCACAGTATCCTACAAATTCATCCATGTTATTACATTGGGAAAATAGCTTCCTTTTTCAGAGAGATAATACTCCATCATAGATACACATACCACAGTCTTCCATTCACCCATTAAGATACTCAGGCTGATTCCATGTTTCTTGTTACAAGAGGATTCTACACATGTGTGATCATAAGACATTTCTCTCTGTGTGTGGCTTATTTCATTAAACATATGGATCTCTGGGTTCATTCATATTGTTGCAAATGGTGGGATTTCATTTCTGTGGCTAAGTAAATAGACCATTGTGTGTGTAACCCATTTCTTTTCCACCCATTCACTGATGGAAAATATGGCTGATCCCAGATCTAGGTTGTTATATAAACATGGGAGTGTAGAGATCTCAACATGCAGGATCATGTGGTAATTTTATTTTTAGATTTTTGAAGAACTAACATACCATTTTATGTAATAAATGTTCTGTTTTGCATCCCTAACAACAATGGAAGAATTCATTTTTTTCCAGATCTTCACCAAAACTTCTCTCTTGCCTTTTTGATTGTATCCATCCTAGCAGGTGGAGGCATGAACTCTTATTATAATTTCATTTGCATTTTCCTGATTGTTAATGGTACCTAACACTTCTTCATAGACATGTTTCCATCTGTATGTCTTCTTTGTCAGTAAAGTGTGAAGGTTCTTAAATGCCCAGACCCAGGACTTCTGAGGATGGCCTTGACCCCACCTGTGAGCGTTTCTCTGTATCTGTCTGTATGTCTGAGCAACCCTATGCTCAATCTGGAGCTCAGGCATGTGGTGTTTAGAGAGATTTTATGCCGCCTCCTTTGCAGATGACTTGGGATCTGTACTTTGTTCTGCGTATGGTCCTAGTGTGTTCGACCTTAGTTTCTGTCCAGATCTTGACTCCTCTGCTCTTGTTGAATCACTTGCTGATTCCCATCCCCATTCCCTTTCTACGTTGCTCTTCTTGTCCCAGGTCTCCCTCCATTTCTTCCTCCTCTCCAGTGCCAAAGTCAGGACTATAACCCTATACTGTGATGGCACTGCTAATGTTGGGTGGGTGACTAAATCCCTGTAGCTCACACCATCCCCAGCAGGGTTCCAGCTTTGTCCTGCATCTGTCCCAGCATCCCATTGACAGTCTTCATACTGATGTTCTAGGCAAGCAAGTCAACAGGGTGAATGTTTGTCTTTTCTCTAACAAATGGAAGCATTCAGGGTTAGATAGATAGCAATGAGTATCTATCGCCTATGTTAACTAGATAAAATTTTCCACCATGTTTTGAAAGTTTTCCTTTCATGATGCCAAACCTTTAAGTCTTGATATGTTCTCTGTCTAGAGTATGACAGAATCCTCTGACTTTGGCCTGTTGTCTCTCCTTCCACTGATTTTTATTAAAGTTCTTTATGGACTCTATGCTCCATCTAAACAAGATTGAACCATTTACATGCTCTCTTCTAAGTGTTTTCATTTTCTCCTTTCCCTGGGACTGCTTCCTCTAAACATCATGTCTACACATTCAAACACAATTGCCCATCACATTGTAATGTTGCTTCTTCAACAAGATATTTTTCCTCTTGTTTAGTGAAAAAATTTTCTTCCTTTCCCAGATTCCCACAGAAGGTTATCCATGCAGCTTGTTACATTGCATCATGCTTAAAGGAGAGTTGTGAACTTCCAATCAGACAGGTTGCAAGTCCAATCCAGGCTGTGTCACTTTTAGCCTCCACCTCCTGGATGAATTATTCCTTCACTGTGGGTAGTACTGTCCACATATGTAAAGCAATGTCCTTTCTTAATACATGTTGTAAAAGTTAAAGTGTTGTGTGTGAAATGTGATACCTGCACATGGTAAGCACTCAGGAAAAGTGAACTCTGTTATTCTCTTTTGGGTCATTGAAGTTATTTCCAAGCATCTTTTCTCTTTTTTAACAAAAATATTTTATCTTATGCATATGGGTGTTTTCCCTGCTTATTTTTCTGTGTACCACTTGCATTCCTGGTGCCCACAGAGACCAGAAGAGGGTGTCAGATGTCAGATGCCCTGAAACTAAAATTTCAGATGATAGGTATCTGTCATATGGGTCTTGGGAATTGAACCCTGGTCTTCAGGAAGAGCATCCAGTGTTCTTAACTGCCAAGCCATCTCCCCTGCCCTCTTTTCTGGTCCTTACCAGATTTCTGATCTTTAATGCAGGATCTGTGCTTTCTTTCATATTTACTCTCCTCTGCATCTGACTTACTTTATTGTACATAGAGAGATTTATTTGTATGGTTCAAAGCTTTGGTTTTGAGTTTCACAATCAAAGCTATTATAGAAAGTAATACATGGCCTAAGCATTAGTATTCATTCACAGATATGTAATAAATACAAATTACATAAACTAATTGCTTTAAAAATATTCTCAGGACACCATCTTGTCCTATTTACAAAACACATCAAATTTTCATTTAGCCCCAATATCCCCGTGTGTCCTTAGAAGTGAGTAGATACCCCCTTCACCTTAAGGCCGTTTTCCTGCATTTTTTTTTTTGGAGTCTCGGAGCCCTCCTCATAACTCATCTTTGGAGTTGCATGTGAACATAAAGTAGCTGTAATTCCCTAAGGAATGTTGAGTGCTAAAGTGGTGTGCATGTTGAAACTCTGTATTACCCAGTGAGAAAAAAATGTAAGAGCAAACCACAAGCATCAGACAACTGTTCACGGAGGCGAGAAGCTTCCATCTGTGTTTGCAGACACACTTGGAAAGAGCTGAAGATGACACTGTCCCCCCTGCCCCGAGTCTCAATTTGCCTTCCTCTCCTTTGTTCT